CCTTAGCTGGGAAAGTGATTATTCATTGTTATCCATCAAAATAATTATCCATTAACTAAGATAAGAACCCTAGGGAATTCCAAGAGCTGGATCAGGAAACAATCTGTCAGACCAGAGTAGATTGTTTATGGGAACTAGAACACTTCCTGGAAAGAGGAAGTAACTTCATGTATTCAGTAGTACCTGATGCTGGTTCATAAAACCACGGTGTCAGACAGTCTTTTCCTTTGAGCTGAGCGTCACAAACACGCATTGAATCCAATTTTTCTTCTGGGGTGGATGGTGCAGGATTCTTCCTGTATCACTGAAGACCTTGAACTCTCTAAGGTTGAAATCTGGACCTCTGACTTACTACAGTATCTCTTCAGTTTTGCAGCAACTTGAATTTTGCTACTCTGAAAAAGCTTTCATACTTGCAGAGAAGCACTCGATGTCTTGCACTAAATGTTTGTAGATTTGAATAATGAAGTCTCTTCTACAGTGATTATTCATGAAGTTGGAATTTTCATTGTCACCATTCATCTCAATCAGGGTTTGATGCACAACATAGAACACTTTCAGGCTTAGGCAAATCTAAATGTGTTGGCGTCTGTGCTTTGAGAATTTCAGAAGTGCTAGAAATCTAACCTTTAAAAATGAAAGCTAAACTTCTGTAAACAGTTGTGCAGCAATAGATGAATCTTGCTACAAAGGTAGCCCCCTCAGTGTTACAGATTGTACAGAGCTTGAAATAGACATTAAATCATACCTTAAAAGTTTCTGATGTATTTGATGAGGGCTAAAAGGAGGTTCTCTTAAAACGGGGGCAAATTGGGTGCAGTGTTTGGGAGATCTTGAAGTACACCCCCCTGCCCTGGCCCCCAGTTGGTGACTTTGGTGGTTTTTGGATTTATAACTCAAAAATGTTGTCATCTTTGGCATTTCAGATCCATTTTGGTTTTTGTCTTTGGTAAAGCATACTACTTTTTGAATTAGGCTTTTGTTGGGATGAGGATGGCAGTTATACAAAGTCATTTCCAGGCATGTTACATGTACAACTTTATTTGTTCCTAATGCTTCAGGAAATATGCAATGGCAGATGCATCCTTTCAGTATATTTAGGTTCTCATGCACTACTTACAAAGACTTTTGTTTTATCCTGGCACAAATTTTCTGAAGAGCACACAGTGTTTTTGCTTCATGTAGGCTGCATGCACTTCTCTAATTTGTATGGAGTTTCCCTAGAAGTGGTCATGCTATCTTCTAAATGAAGGGAGCCAGGACTTGGTGATTTTTTTCCCCCTTCTTTCTCTCCCTGCCCTTAATGCAGGGGTGGGCTAAACACAGCCAGTGGGCTAAACACAGCCCATGGGCTGGATGTGGCCTGCCAAGCCATTCTATTCAGCCCATGGGGCCCCTAAAAAAATTAGGAAATTAATATTTACCTGCTCCTGGCTGCCTGTCAAAGATGGACCAAAGCAAAGCAGGACCCAGGGGACGCCAGCAGCAGGACCGAGCAGCCCAGCCCTGCCTCACTCCCATCCATTTCCCTGCCTTCCTGCCCCCACACTGCTCCAGCACCACGTGGCTCCTGGCTGTATCGCCTGACTGGGGAGGACAGGGCCGTGCTGGTACCCTAGAGTGTGCATGTGTGTTCGTAGGGTGAGTCCCACATGCACATCCCCCCACACACCCCAGCCACCGTTCCCCCACACCCCATGTATCCATATACACACCCACATGCTCCCTCACCTCACACCCCACATACCTACACTTCCACAGCCCCCCACAAACATATACGCCCCCCCCACAATATGCAAGAGTAAGACTTCATTTTAAGCTATTGTGCAATCACCTCTATGGACACTACACAAACGCATGTAAATCAGGACAAAAATATTTTTTGAAATCAAATTAATGAGTGTTGTAGATGTTTGTTTTTTAGAATATAATTTGGTATTTTTCTGGTTCCAAGATGGCAAAACTCCTTGCTGAAAGGAATACTTATGTGGGCGAGTGGAGGGACTTCTGGTGGAAAAGAACAGGGGTTAGAGGAGAGGACTTCCGCTCACAAGATGGCAACCAGAGGGGCGGGGCTCCTGTCAAGGGGCGAGGCTACCCATGCGGCCCTTGACAGGGGTATAGGAGTTGACCGGTAGAGCCATCAGTCCGACAAAACTTTCAATATGCCAAATAAATGACATATTAGTTCCCCATTTTTCTTCAACTTCTTTGAGCTTTGGATTTAGGAAGGGGGTGGATCTGAAAACAAGATATATTAAGAGACAGAAGGGAAATGATAGAGGGAAGTTTTGGAGCAGCAGAAGAAAGTCTAGGTTAAACCTATGTAACATACAGGTGGCTTCTGCTACACAATGGTTGCATCTACACGTGAAATTAGTGTGCCTGAATAAACTCTGGTGCAGTTCGTGCTGGAATTTATTGCACCCAAACACAGCATTTACATGTTTGTCCAGGACCCTGCAGCATGTTGAACCAAGGTGGTGCAGCCCCAGCTGGCACAGGGTCTCCAGGGGGTCAGCCTGCCAGCCCAAAGCTGCTCTTCCCCAATTCAGCATGCTGCGGAGGGGCTGGCTGGCAGGCAGCTTGTTGGCCCCTTCCTGCTGTTTCATTGCCCAAGACCACATGGCAGGGAGGAAAGGAGGTACCAGATGACTCCTGGTGCACCAAAGGTGGGTTCCTTCCAACGAAGGCCTAGTATCTGAAGCTGGGTGATACTAGGCCTTCATTGTACCCTAGTTTACTTCCAGGACAGTGGAACCTGCTGTTGCTTATTTGCTAGATCAGCAGTTGGCACCCTTTCCAGGTTGTGGGCCAGAACAACCCAGCTTGGGTCAAAGGCAGGTGGATGGGTTCTAAGATTTGGGCACTCCCGCTGCTTTTCCTTATGGCAGCATGGAGAGAGCAACTGCTACTAAAGGCTGCCAGAGCCACACATTTGCAGGCCAGATCAAATTGCTCTGCAGTCTGAATCTGGCACATTGGTTGTTAACTTCCATGCTAGATAGATCTCTCATCTACTGGAGCACTCATCTGCTAAAGGTCCTGTATGCAACAGTGTTACCAGTAGATACTTTTTACCCCTTTGTATAATGGAAGTAATGACTTGCCACAGTTACCTTATGGGCTTGAGGACTAAACAGTAAATGGGAATGTAGCAATTAGAAGTGTAAAATTCCCCTGATTTTAACTAGCTTTCCATCTCAGCCTGAGGTCAGCAGTCTAATTTTACCTCAGCAGCATCAAACCACATGGAATTGCATATGCAGCAGAGAGGCACAGCTAAATACATAGTTGTCTGGGACTCGCATACTAGAGAATTAGTTGAGTGCTGGCATCTCCAAAGCTGATAGAGCTAGCTGACAAGTGCCTTAGGGTTTTGGAGCTGGTGGCTCTGGCCAGTCAAGCTCTGGTTTTGAGCTGTGCATATTGTGCCCGCGTGCGGGGCGGTTTTTTTTTTTTGTTTTTTTTTAACCTCTGGATATCCAGGGATCAAAAAAAACCTTGTGCGCTGCCCCCTTGCAATGCAGAGAACAGCTGAACGTGCAGTGGGTAGCACTGCAGACATATCTGCAATGCCATATAGTGCACGGACACTGTTGTCTGGATGCAGCTAAGAGGTGCAAGAGAAAAGTCACTCTTGCTGCAAGTCTCCCCATGGTCTCTTTAGAGCAGCTGAACTTAGCAAGAGCTGCTGCAGAGCTGGTGAGCTTACGGAACTCATTTACAGGCTCTGCAATGTCTGCCTTGGATGATGCACCCTCTAAAAGCTGGTTTTGACCTGATTGGCAAATATTGTTGTGCTGTCCAGAGCTGAACATGGAGGGCTGAGGGAAAAGTGTGCGTGTTTTGGATGAGGAGACTGCACCGTAACTAGTCAAAGATTCCAGAGAACCCAAAAGAGACTAAACTTGTGTAAGAATTTTGGAATCAGTTACTCCCACCCCTCTGAATCTCTGCCATCTCTAGATATTTTATCTAACTCTGCCTGGAGGGTTATTTTGGGGAGCATAAAATGAACAAGCTGGAGTGGGGCCTGGACACTGCTTTTGAGAAGAGCCAGGGGTTTCTCTTCCAAATACAAATATGAAAGCATGGAAATCAAATTGAGAAAATAGATAGAAAAGAATAAAAGCTAAGAAAACTGAAGAGATCCAGGCATTTGTTCCCATTAAATGTTTATAAGTATTACTATCTGCAGAGACCACCTGCTGCCCATATAAATGTGGAAACCTATAGAGGGTGTGTTTGACAGGATGGTTGAACATTATAATATAGTTATATGCATATAAAGAGGCTGTCAGGATTTTTGCTGAATTCTTTTTTTTTTTCTTCCATCAGGGTTTAATTTATAGATTTGGTTGGGTGATGATAGCTAAAATGTACAAAGCAGGGGACCAGGTATTATGTGGGCAGGGTCAGTGCTGCACCGGATTAGTGCATTCAGGCCACCAGAAGGTGCATCAAGAGTACAAAGTAAGAAGTTGGGTCACAGCCCTGCGCCATGTGATGTGGGCTTGGCTTAGCTCTTTCCCACACTGGGGAGTGGTAGAACCAACAAAGAGATTTGAAGGCTTGTGTTCAATGTGAAGAGGTGTGTCTTTTTACTTTCATGTGAACTCAAGGGGGTGAGCAATTCGGAGGTAAACACATGCTAAAGTCCAGGCATTTCAGGCAAACTTGTCACGGTCAACCCTAGTCTCCTGCCAAAGGCTGTCCTTGTGGTTAAATGAGAGTTCCTGGCCTTTGGTTCAAAAAAATAAAGGAAGCTTTTTAGTACTAAAGCAAAGCTCTGTGCCATTGCCTGACTGGAGGACTAGTGCTTTGCTGGTATAAGCCAACCTTTCCTTTGACTTGGGTAGAGGCAGAAGGCTGTTACTGTTGGTTCTTGTGTCTAGCTGCTGCTCTGGTGTTCTGTAGGGAACTAGGTTAACAGGGTAATTCTCTTTAATGGCCCTTTTGAAAATAATTTCCATTTCATACATTTTTTATTTGCCTAGGCTTTGAAGGAGATACCTGTGAGCACAACATTGATGACTGCCCAAATCACAAGTGCCAGAATGGTGGTGTGTGCGTGGATGGCGTAAACACTTACAACTGCCGCTGCCCTCCACAGTGGACAGGTAAGTGGTGTGCAAAATCTTCCTGCTTGGGTTGCGTGGCTTTTCAGAATGGGCTTCAGCACTGAGTGATTACTCACCTGTGTAAATCCAACTTAATGTAGGTGTGTCTGAAAGCTGTTAACATCTGTTGCTGGTTCAGCCGCCTGTAACAAGGG